CTCTGGGGGAGATGGGTGGCATATAAATATAAATATAATAGTAATAGTAATAGTAATAGTAATAGTAATAGTAATATCATCCTCTTCAGATGAGCTTCACTCCATGTGATTTCATGAAGTTTTCTTGGCAATAAGAAAGAGGAGTTTGCCACAGCTTTCTTCTACGATGTTTTTCAACTTCCCTGTCTCACCTACATGGCTGTTTCCCACCCACGTACTAACCTGGCCTGACCATGCTTAGTTTCTAAATTCTGACAAGGTCAGCCAGGTACTTCCCTGCTCCATAAACCACAGGAAGCCTAAGATATAGAACACATGTGAGCTTATCATGAAGATAATGCCAAAAATGTTTCCTCCTTGATTAAATGATATGCATACAAACCCAGTGTTTAAAAAGCAATGTATGCTATGAGATAAACTACCAAGTATATATGGTCAGTCCACTTTCCTGGTAGCTGCCAGAAAGGGCTTTATGATAAAGGTCAGTGCTGTGCTGAACATTTCTTTCACTTTTTTCCCTGACCATTGTCAGTCAGTTTGATGAATTACTGTCAATATTTTTCAAAGGGGAAAGCAATTCAGCAAAACTCTTATGGGTTGGGTGTGAGTCTCTTGCCCTTATTTTAGTCATGGGATGGCTAAAGAGTGTGTGAGAATGTACTATCTTTTACTCTGCAGTCAGCTCTCCAGCAAGTCTCCTTAGTTTTCCTCACATACTAAAGATTCCTGTACTAATCATTCTATCATTTTGAAGCCTTTCTTAGTTGCCTGCACTTCCCAGGCTGAAAAAAAGATCAGTTGAAGGAGTTCCTGGCAGAGAGGATTCTACAATGAAAGACAAGGTACACATACACATTCTTTAAACACTCATAACTAAATAGATGTAAGGAACAAACTTCTCATCTCCTTTGAAAGGAATTTCTAAAGTAGTAAGAACTGTAAAAAAATCTATATGAAATTTTTAGCACCACAATAATAAAACTGACACCTGTTTCTCAGAAGTTCCCAGAAAGAAACTTTTCAGGAACAACTTTTAGACTAGTTTGTTATCAAAATGTAATTGCCAAATTCTCTGGAGCAACTGTTTTTAAAAGTAGGCTGGGAGGGGATCACTTCTCTGCATACATTGCTACCATGCAATTTGGAATATGTGCTCCAGTTCTTATGCTAGCCATACTCATCAGTTTAGTACAGGGGATGGTCCACGGTGATATATAATCTTTTTAAAATCTCTTGGGATGCTGGGTTACCTTAGTGCAGACATACCCATGAAAGAATGGAGACCTGGCCTTAGAAAGAAGAAAGGAAGGATTACGCTGTTAAGGGAGGTATTCCAGAAAAGATAACTCAGTCCGGAGAAAGAGGAAAGTATGAAAAACAAAGTGAAAATAGCTCTGCCTTGATTTTATTTGGTATAAGATGAAGTAGAAAGAAACTCTGAAAGGCTTGCAAGATTCTGTTATTCTATCCTACAATGATAAAAAGTAATTCTGGGATTCTTGCTGTGTCTGTTACTTGACCTCAGCTTCCTCAACGGGCTGACAATACTTGACTCCTTCAAGTTTTATCCGGGAATAACAGTTACCCAGTAGCCATGAAAGCTTTTATAAGAGAAATAACTAGTCTTAAAAAAGCATATTAATTGCAACAACATGACGTCTTTCACACAGACATTGGATATCATCACTGACTTCTTGTCATTAGGTACAATAGCAACCATCATAATGGCTTCCTGTTTCTCTGTATCTCTGTTTAGAGTAGTTCTGTGATTAAGTTGACAGGCTTAATAGAAAAAAAACCCCTGAGCTGCATGTTGGCAGAGGTAAATAAGTCTTGTTCTCTCTCAAGGTAAAACATTAATTGGGTGTGTGTGTATGTGTGTGTGTTTGTTTCTGCTATGAAACTTCCCAGACCTTTGTGACATTTCATGAACCTAGTTACAAATTAGAGTACAAATACACAGCAAATTAAGTATGGCAAATTTTCAGTGGCAAACCAGGCTCACCCATTTCACTTTTTAAAGGATGGAATAGTGGATATAAACCGTTGTGTATATGTGTGTGTTTGGGTGTGTGTGTGTGTGTGTGTGTGGTATGACTGAGCTGACAACATTTTTAAAGACCTAATTTTCTGGGAAAGAAGTTAACTTCTGTGTTTGTTGTTATACTTTTGTGGATTTTTTTTTTACTGGCCTGATCTTTGTAGATGAGACAGCAGAAGTGCATTTGCATGATAATAAAACAATCAGAAATAGAGAAGTTGTCACTATAGTTCAGTAAAGTCTAACCTTTTACAAGGTTAATACATGCAGAGGTGGAAAAATATACAAGAAATACAATGCCACTTTTAAAAGGATGTTTAATATTTTTAATTATTGCATTATTAATGGGCAAAAGGTTAAATAGCTAGCATGGTATTTTGGTTTGAAAATAATCCTTATGTATGTGACAATCAAAATGTCAATTTCAAAAAAATGAAGTCAGATCTTTATTATATCTGACATCTAGGCTTCTTTTCCATTATAGTAGTTCAAGCCAAAGGCTTTTCAAGGCTTGCAACTTGGCTGATGATTGTCCAGTTATTGACTATCCCTGGTTACGTCTACACTAGAACCAGGGCCTAAGGTGAGTTTCAAATGGTTTAGCCACGCTCTTTACAGCCTGAATCTATATTTTAATATCAGTCATTCTACACTTCTGTAATCTCCAAGCAGTTATATTGATGAAATGAAAATGAAATGAAAATAAAAACAAAATACTGATGATATCTCAGTAGATGCCATAAACATGTCCAGTTGCCACTTCATGAATGCCAAAAAAACTTGAATTAAAGGTATACCACAGAATGGAGAACAAACAAAACATTTAAGTGTTTTTTGGTCTCCTGTAAAGAATATAGCTGTTATCAGTGTAATTGAAACCTTCATGCATGTGCTAGCTTTGCAGTGTATTTTATAAAATGCTAAAGGCAGACATTACCATGAATTCTTACATTATCTGCTAATGTAGTTACTTAGCAATTTACAATCTGGCGAAATTTGCAACTCAAGTAGCTTTGAAGTAGTTCTGTAGTGTACCATTTTTTCATCTGATGTCTAATATTAACACATGTATTATCAGGCTTTTGCAGCTCACACCACCTGACAAAGTTCACCGTGATCTGTAAAACTTTATCTGACAAGAAGTTTCTTTGCTGTTCTTGTGGCAAAAGCCTAAGATGGCATGTGTGTTGACTCCTAGCAACTGCCTGAACCCATACAATCTGGCCAGGCAGGATCGGCATGCTTCGGGTCCTAAGGAGTGCTGGTTGGCAGGGCCCAAGAGAAGTGCCTTTTCTGTCCTAGTAGTGCCCACCCTATGGAACATCCTTCTTCTGAAGAACAGGATGGCCCCAACCCTGCTGCGTTTCATAAGGCCCTAAAGACCCCATGTGTGTGCAGGGACCCGTTTCTTGGTTTGTTAGTGATTATGCAACATGTTATTTTCTTAGCTGCTATGTATTTTAATTTTTGTATTACTGCAATTGTTTTTATTTTAATCTTGTTTGCTGCCCAGGGTCACTTGTTGAGATGGGAGGCTACGCACACTGAATTAACAAGTAAACAAGTCCCTGCAGTTTTCTTGGCAAGATTTTCAGCAGTGGTTTGCCATGGCCTGCTTCCTAGGGCTGAGAGAGGAACTGGGCCAAGGTTACCCAGCTGGCTTTGTGCCTAAGGAGGGACTAGAACTCCTGGTCTCCCAGTTCTAGCCCAATGTCTTATATACATCTGGATGACTACCCATCTGGAAACAGTTTTAAGGCCCATAAAGGTATTCAGTTGGAATTAGTAGCATTAGAACATCACTCAGAATATGAGCAATTGGGGATGGTGATGAGCAAAGCCCTTTTATACATCGCAAAATGGAGGATTGATAAAATTACAGGTTTTGTGTGTGTGTGTGATCTGACATAGCCTAGCTGATGCTGTGTGATAAACATCAATATTTCTGCCTTCTTCCTCACTTTCCTGATTCTTAGTTGGCAGTTGGGGACCAGGTAGTACCTCCTGGAAGTTAGATTTGACCCAAGGGCTTCAATTTGCTGATTTTCAGCACATGTAGTAAAAAAATGACACTATTTATGAGTCTAAAACACTCATACATTTGAAGAAAAAAAGAAACAATGTATCAAGAAACTAAATGGACAAAAAATAAGTACTGAAGGTAGTTTGGGTCTTGGCTTGGTGAGGTGCAGCTCCCAGCATAATTCAGTTATGAATACTTGTGAACATGGTAGCATTTGGGAAAGTATGGAAGGAGGTATCTGCAATCATCAGATCGTTTCATAAAATCATAGCAAGTGGCATCATTGCATTTCTCCTGCAGACTGAGTCACTTTAAGACTGGACCTATAAAATAGATGTATAAGCACTGTTATATGTAGCCTTTTTTGCTTCTTCTGGCAAGCATTCCTTTCTCACAACTGATCACAAGCTACTGTCTATCTTACTACCAGCATTTGCATATCTTAAAATTTCTCCACCCGTTTTCTCATCTTCAGTAAATATTCCGCTGACATAAATTCACCTATTTGTTTTATCATTTATGGATAACATGCAATCGTTCATTTCATCTTTCCTGTGAAGCACAGCTACCATAGTCTTAAATATTTAAATGTTCCATTCCATATACCTTCCTGGATTATACAACGATCTAACAACCATTACAAATCATGTGGATTCTCAGCCAACAATACATCATCATCTGCCTACAAAGGGAAAACACATTCATAGCTCCAACCAACCCACTCCTAACATCACCACAAACATTTTTTATACATTTTTCCATAAATACATTAAACAACCAAAGACATCATACATCCTGGTCTTTCTGCTTATCGTTGAACCATTTACTAAGCATTGAATATATTCTCATGTATGATTTCCTTGTATCATATACCACTCTTATCATATTCAGCAACTAAACTTTAACTCCCGATTTATGAAGACAATTTCCATAATTCAAGATTATTCATTTTATCATATGTTTCCTCTAAATCAACAGATATACAATCCACTTTCATCCAGGCAGTGCAGTGCAGCTTTATGCCAAACAAGAGATGTGCAGACAGGATTTTGCTCTTCAACTGGTGACTGAAAAATGTATTAATATTTATACATTTTTCAGTTACCAGTTGAAGAGCAAAATCCTGCCTGCACATCTCTTGTTTGGCATAAAGCTGCACTGCACTGCCCGGATGTTGTTCATTGTCGCCTTTTGTGTAATTTCAGTCAGAATTCTGCCAAATACCTTTCCAGACACACTTAATAAACTATTTCAATTCCATATTGCATTATATCACTAGCACTATATAATACTCCTTCCAGCATTCTCTCACTTCAGTTTCATCCCAAATGATTTCATCACTCTTGTCTTTAAATCCATTCACTCTGGAAGAGATTCTTTGTTTAGCTTTTTGTCCACTTTTTAAATTTCCATCAGATTACCTGAATTTTCTCTTCCTCTTTTAATCTTAATTATTCATTGCTGTCTTTGACTGAATTGCATGCAACCATCTTTTTTTCTCTATTCATATTATTTCATCCTCATTTTTTAGCACTTAATTTTTACATGCATTTTTTCATCCACAGCTTCTTTCACTTCATCATTACAATAATTATTTTTTGTATGCTTCATTAATCTTCCTTATATTACTTTTTCACACAGGGCTCATGCTTTTGCTTCCTGGATTCACACTTCTTTTTTTTTTTTTTACTTTTTTCCCCCATGTCCACTTTTCTCCCAAAATCCATTTTTGGCACTACCAAATAAATGATGGTCCCATAATCAAAACTTGTCATTGCATTTGTATCCTTTACTAGTTCTCTCAGTCTTTCATAATAAACTACCAGGTCCATCATGATTTTGTTTTATTCCTCTTCAATTCAAGAAGTTTGAACTGGGCTCAGAAACTTATAGATAGCCATTCCAGTGATCAAAGAATAGCTGTTATACTGTATAAGCTAGATTTGCCTAATAACAATGTTGTCCATGTCATCTATTCTAAAGTAGACTTACTGGTCTAATGTACCAGAGTTGAGAACACCTGGGTCAAGTTCAAGGTTATCATGGAAACCATGAATTTATGAGGCCCCATGGATCCCACTCCCAGAGCATAGAGATTGAAATCTCCCAGCACTAGCAGTCTGGGGGACTCCATCATTAGCCCTACTGTGAGGATTGAGTACTCATAAGGGCCTGCAATTGGAATGGATGATGCAAAATAGGAGCTTATACAATAGCTACAGCACAGTTTTCAAGAGGAATTCATACTAATAACTTCTAGAGCAGAAAATCTGATCTAGATCTCACTAATACACATAGGTCTGCATGTTCATCCAGCATCAGGACATGAATGTATGTTACTCAGCACAAACCTGGCATTTCCAGCAGCAACCAGAAATTAAAATGCCCAGTGACATGATCACCTGAGCCCAGAAAAGGAATTGCTCATATCTGGCCTTAGGGCTGTAATAAACGTGTGTGTGTGAATTGCTGAACTAGAAATATAAACATCCTTTTTGTGTGGTGGTTAGGTTACTGCTGACATACCTTCTTCCACCTGTCACAGTAACAATATAGTACCTGAGTTGAAGCCATCAGCTGGATCCCCCGGCCTTCTCATTAATTCCATATAGGCTATCCCACCAAACACCCAGGATGAGTTACCATCTACATATGCATTCCTCCCCACCAATAACTCAATCCCCCAAATAATGTGCACAATCACCAACAACCAAACTTATCCATCAACCCATCTCCTTAGAACCCCAAGGAATCCATTCTCACTGGTGTCCTTTTAATGCTGAGAATTCCCTGCCCCTTTTATCACTCAAGTGGTGGTGGTGGGGGGGGAACTTCCCTGGCTTCCCTGGATGTTGTCCAGGGCGCAGTCTCCAGAAGGTCCAGAATCCACCATATCCACTATGCAATACAACTTCACAGCTACCAGAACCTACAGTTCCCCGCCACTGTTCTTTTGCCGCTCCAACAATCCTCCCAGTACCCCGCTCTTCACTTTTCTGCCAGACTTCCTGCTCTCTATTTCCACCTGCTGCCAGCCTCTGAGTCCTACTGATGCTTTCTCCATTCTCTGTGCTTTTCAGTAATTTAGTGGGGCTATAAAGTAGGCTGCCATTCTTTCTTGTACTCATGCCACATGCAGCATACCCTGCCAATAGAAAGGTCAATCCTGATCAATTTTGGCCAGTATGTTACAAGCACAGCCAAGCCCTCAAGCTCATGCTATATTATGCAAGTTAGGATCTCTACATATGCCTAACTAGGAGGTACAGCATATGAATATGACACATAGTCACAATAACTTTTTATTTTTTGGTTTCTGATTAAGAAAAATGGGGGGGGGGGAATTGAGTTCAAATTATATCACAATCAATATTCAGAAATATCACTGAAATAAATCTTTTATAGTTTCAGAATTTTCAGCTTGGGCAAATAGGTTGTTAGATTAATGACAGAGGTAATGATTAAAGCATATTATTTTATGAGTTTCTTTTTTTAATCGGACATTATGCTAATTATACTGTATTCCATTTTTCAATAAAAGGTCAACAGTGCACTGTTTGTTCAGAATATGCAATTTAAACTTCATGTCTGTCATTAGAGATAATCTAGGCTTGTTGTATCTTGTGGGGTTGTCATAGTAACTAGACCTGAGATCTCTGTTTACAGCCTTCAGAGAATAAACATTTTGCCTTTCTTTTTTTTAGGAAGAAAAATACTCAAACAATTAAATAAGGTCTGAAAACAAAACCACAATAGCTCAGAAAGAGAGATGTCATTTGTCAAAAATCAATATAAGTGATGCAGTTGGTGCAAGTCAAAACATTCAAGCAAGTGATTGACAGATATACTGAAATATTTCCCCTGGGGATGAAGGAAGTAACTGATAATGTATCACAATGCCTTGAAGCAGAATTCATTTAGCTTTGCTAATGGATTTTGTTCCAGTTATTATCACATTGAAGAATATTTGCTTAAATTTCTTTAAAGTCAGATAAAGGTTTTAAAAGTGTTAAAAACATTTGTTCATTCATAATAACACAAAGGGATTTTATTTTTACTTTCTGTGAGACTCCTTGTTTTCATCCCAAAGACTATACAAGAACATCCATACTTACTGTGGCTTCACATGATCTTTAATGCTTTTCTTTTCTTTTTTTAATCCCACCGTCACACAAACGCAGGTGCAAAAGAGTGATATCCTGTAGTTTCTGATAATACACAGTGGTGTAGCAGAACACTTAAGTAACTGTCAGGCTGCATCTTGACAATAGGTTTCCAACATCTGATGTCAAAATTATTGACATGCTGGGTAAAGTGCCTGTACACAGGTGTAGAAAGGCTTTGGGTTTTCCCCCTCACTGAAAAAGTACCTAATAATTACTGTGCATATTCAAAGACAACTGAAAGTATGATAAGTTCTACCTTACCAATGGATTCCAAACAGAGTCATCTGTCAGGGATGTTCCAGCTTTGGATCTTTAGCAGATGGTCCACATCTTCTCTATCTATTTCTATGGTTCTGTAAAAGTCAGTTAATGATGAGCACTGAATGCTGGCCAAACACTTTGGTGCATTTGTCAAGGTTCTTAGTTAAGGGATACAGTAGTCCAATAACATGTAAAATATTCTTGCCTTTTGGTTTGTCAGTATTGTGAGGGTACCTCCCAACAGCAAGTTGGTTATACCCTCTACATTAGTACCAGTTACTTTGTGCCAATAGGTGTACTCCCTCAGTGCCTTTATCTCCAAACTGGGCTGTTTTCAATTAGTATAGGCTTCTTAGTTCTTAGTGATCTGCATTACTAATAGAAATGCTTAAAAATAATAATGACCATTCACCTTTTCACATTATGAAAGAAGGAACGGCCATTTTGCTGCTTATGGAAAACTTGAGAGAAAGTGAACCTTAACCAAAATGAGGTGGGGAAAACCTGCAGAGAATGGCTTCCAGAATTCCTTCCACCCCCTTAATGACTCATTAAGGAAGGGAGGCTTAGAATGGAGGAGCTGGCCATGTTCTAAGCTACCACCTGACTGTCTCATAGGGATGAATTGTGGGAAATCTCAAGGATTTTTTTCTCTACAGCCCCCAGACAGCTCTGATCCATTTGTAGATCTTATCTTCCTCTTGCTGGCTTCTCCTCTTGCAAGAAATTTGGTCATGTTCTGTTCTATTTATGAAGAGTTATCCTGCTGACAGACAGACAGAGTCTGGAGTCCTTGGGAGTGCTGCCAATTCCAATACAGAGGTAGAAACTGTAATTGGCAACCAGTGTGAGGAAGAGAGAAGGAAAAGGAGGAAGGGGCACCTGTCTCAGGAGGTACCATGTTTTATGCTAGTCCTAAACAAAGGGCAATTGCACCAAAGCAAAATAAATCTGCACCCAAGTATGGGGCCTTAAGATTAGGTGAAATCTCCTAGTGCCAAAATTGAGGGCAGGAGGACTGTATCAAAGGCAAGGAAGCTACATCTCCTTTGAAGTGCCTGTTGAAGGTTTGTGCTGAAATATGAATATGTACAATCTGCTGGTATTCTTGTGCTGTACCATTTAGCTGGGTTTTCTGGCATTTGGATGGTCAACCATTTAAAGGTGGATGAGATTTTCCATGTGAAATCTAGTTTCCCTGAAGGAGTTTAATATGGAACATGTGAGCTGAATACGGTTATCTAAACTAGTGTGTCATTAAGGCTTTGAGGAAATACTTCAAGCCACACTGAGAAAAGCAGTTAGGAAAAAAACACCAGAGGCCTCTTCACAGTTAAAATCCTCCATGAAAGCTTGCCCAGTTTGTTTTCAGATCGTCTTGAGCATAGATTTCACAAGTTCTGTACTACTAAAATGGCAGTTTTAGCCAACTCTGTGTTCTGTCTGAGAAAAGCAAACTTGAGTCACTGAGTTCTACAGAAGGAGATCATCTTCTTAGGTTTGATGTATTTGTGCCACAGCTGAAAACTACCTGCTAATTAACTGCTCCATTTATAGTGCTTGACCTTGCCTGCATTTATAACATAAGAAAGGAAAAAAGCTGATTAATTTGCCATTTTGACAATTTCTGAATGTGAGGAGAGGACTTGAATGTCAGCAATACCAAAGTTCTGCTTATGACCTTCTGCTGTCCTGCTAATTTAACGTTCCCTTTATTTTCAAATGCTTGTGTATCATTCTGAGTGTCATATGAGGAATATATATATATATATATATA